GAGAGGAATGGATCGGTTAGAATGTTATATACACGGATGGAGCAAAACTTCCTCCACGAGCACTTCCCTTTTGGGCATTATTGAGCTAGCGGGTTTGCATTGTCCACCTACATTCATCAGAACATATGTGTTTTGTGCATGTGTGAGTTACAGCCTTCAGAGACTAAAGTTTTATGTTACTCATTTCAATCTGTCGTTCATGAAACAGTGAAAAATGGTTCAATTTCGTTTGCAGCTTTTTTATATAAAGATTTAAACTGCAAATGTTTAAGACACGAGATTAATGAGACTCACAGAGGACTAAGGAAGGACAGGCTGGAAACAGGGTAGAGTATGGTAGAGTAGAGTAGAGTAGAGCAGAGCAGAGCAGAGCAGAGCAGGGTAGAGTAGGGTAGAGTAGAGTAGAGTAGAGTAGGGTAGAGTAGGGTACGGTAGTATAGAGTAGAGTAGAGTAGAGTAGAGTAGAGTAGAGTAGAGTAGGGTACGGTAGTATAGAGTAGAGTAGTGTAGAGTAGAGTAGAGTACGGTAGTATAGAGTAGAGTAGAGTAGAGTACGGTAGTATAGAGTAGAGTAGAGTAGACACTGGTGGAAAAACAGGGCCATTGTCTAGTTGGAACCAAACTTCACCATGAGCACTTCCCTAAGCGTTGTCCATCTGTAACCATCTGTTCCCACAATCCTGTCCTCACCATTGCCATGGAGACAGAGCAGAGCAGAGTAGAGTAGAGTAGAGTAGAGTAGAGAAGAGCAGAGAAGGGTAGGGTACAGTAAGGTAGAATATGGTAGAGTAGAGTAGAGTAGGGTATAGCAGAGCAGAGTAAGGTAGAGTAGAGTAGGGTAGAGTAGGGGAGAGTAGAGTAGGGTAGAGTAGGGTAGAGCAGAGCAGAGTAGAGTAGAGCAAAGTAGAGTAGAGTAGGGTAGAGTAGAGTAAGGTAGAGCAGAGTAGAGTCGAGTAGAGTAGGGTAGAGTAGGGTAGAGTAGAGTAGAGTAGAGTAGGGTAGAGCAGAGCAGAGCAGAGTAGAGTAGGGTAGAGTAGGTTAGAGTAGAGTAGGGTAGAGCAGAGTAGAGTAGAGTAGGGTAGAGTAGGGTAGAGTAGAGTAGGGTAGAGCACAGTAGAGTAGAGTAGAGTAGGGTAGAGTAGAGTAGGGTAGAGCAGAGTAGAGTAGAGTAGAGTAGGGTAGGGTAGAGTAGAGTAGGGTAGAGCAAAGTAGAGTAGAGTAGAGTAGGGTAGAGTAGGGTAGAGTAGAGTAGAGTAGAGTAGAGTAGGGTAGAGTAGGGTAGAGTAGAGTAGAGTAGAGTAGGGTAGAGTAGAGTAGAGTAGAGTAGGGTAGAGTAGGGTAGAGTAGAGTAGGGTAGAGCAACGTAGAGATAGAGTAGAGTAGGGTAGAGTAGGGTAGAGTAGAGTAGAGTAGAGTAGAGTAGGGTAGAGTAGGGTAGAGTAGAGTAGAGTAGAGTAGGGTAGAGTAGGGTAGAGCAGAGAAGAGCAGAGTAGAGTAGGGTAGGGTAGAGTAGGGTAGAGTAGAGCAGAACAGAGTAGAGTAGGGTAGAGTAGGGTAGAGTAGAGCAGAGCAGAGCAGAGCAGGGTAGTGTAGGGTAGAGTAGAGTAGGGTAGAGCAGAGTAGAGTAGAGCAGAGTAGCGTAGATTAGAGTAGAGTAAAGTAGAGTAGCGTAGAGCAGAGCAGGGCAGAGTAGAGTAGGGTAGAGTAGGGCAGAGTATAGTAGGGTAGAGCAGAGCAGAGTTGAGTAGAGTAAAGTAGAATAGAGTAGAGCAGAGCAGAGCAGAGTAGAGTAGGGTAGAGTAGAGTAGAGCAGAATAGAGTAGAGTAGAGTAGAGTAGAGTAGAGTAGGGTAGAGCAGAGTAGAGTAGAGTAGAGTAGGGTAGAGTAGAGTAGAGCAGAGCATAATAGCGTAGAGTAGAGTAGGGTAGAGTAGAGTAGAGTAGAGTAGGGTAGAGTAGGGTAGAGTAGAGTAGGGTAGAGCAGAGTAGAGTAGGGTAGAGCAGGGTAGATTAGGGTAGAGTAGAGTAGGGTAGAGTAGAGCAGAGCAGAGCAGGGTAGAGTAGGATAGAGTAGAGTAGGGTTGAGCAGAGTAGAGTAGGGTAGAGTAGGGTGGAGTAGAGTAGGGTGTGGTAGGGTAGAGTAGAGCAGAGCAGAGCAGAGTAGAGTAGAGTAGAGTAGAGTAGAGTAGAGTAGAGTAGAGCAGAGCAGAGCAGAGTAGAGTAGGGTAGAGTAGGGTAAAGCATAGCAGAGTAGAGTAGAGTAGAGTGGAGTAGAGCAGAGCAGAGCAGGGTAGAGTAGAGTAGGGTAGTGTAGAGCAGAGCAGAGCAGAGTAGTGTAGAGTCGGGTAGAGTAGGGTAGGGTAGAGTAGAGTAGAGTAGGGTAGAGTAGGGTAGGGTAGAGTAGAGTAGAGCAGAGCAGAGTAGGGTAGAGTAGGGTAGATTAGAGTAGGGTAGGGTGGGTTAGAGGAGGGTTAGAGTAGAGTAGAGTAGAGTTGGGTAGAGTAGGGTATGGTAGAGTAGAGTAGAGTAGAGTAGAGTAGTGTAGGGTCGGGTCGGGTCGGGTAGAGTAGAGTAGAGTAGAGTAGAGTAGAGTAGAGAAGAGCAGAACAGAGCAGAGCAGAGTAAGAGTAGAGTAGAGTAGAGTAGAGTAGAGTAGAGTAGAGTAGAGTAAAGTAGAGTAGAGTAGGCCAGAGCAGAGCAGGGTAGAGTAGAGTAGAGTAGAGTAGAATAGAGCAGAGCAGGGCAGGGTAGGTTAGAGTAGAGTAGAGTAGAGTAGAGTCGAGTAGAGCAGAGCAGAGCAGGGCAGAGTAGAGTAGAGTAGAGTAGAGTAGAGTAGAGTAGAGTAGAGTAGGGTAGAGTAGAGTAGACCAGAGCAGAGCAGGATAGAGCACAGCAGAGCAAGGTAGGGTTTGGTAGGGTAGAGTAGAGTAGAGTAGAGTAGAGTAGGGTAGGGTCGGGTAGGGTAGGGTAGAGTAGAGTAGAGTAGAGTAGAGTAGAGTAGAGTAGAGAAGAGCAGAACAGAGCAGAGCAGAGTAGAGTAGAGTAGAGTAGAGTAGAGTAGAGTAGAGTAGAGTAGAGTAGAGTAGAGTAGAGTAGAGTAAAGTAGAGTAGAGTAGGGCAGAGCAGAGCAGGGTAGAGTAGAGTAGAGTAGAGTAGAGTAGAATAGAGCAGAGCAGAGCAGGGCAGGGTAGGTTAGAGTAGAGTAGAGTAGAGTAAAGTCGAGTAGAGCAGAGCAGAGCAGGGCAGAGTAGAGTAGAGTAGAGTAGAGTAGAGTAGAGTAGAGTAGAGTAGAGTAGGGTAGAGTAGAGTAGACCAGAGCAGAGCAGGATAGAGCACAGCAGAGCAAGGTAGGGTTTGGTAGGGTAGGGTAGAGTAGAGTAGAGTAGAGTAGAGTAGGGTAGGGTAGGGTAGGGTAGAGTAGAGTAGAGTAGAGTAGAGTAGAGTAGAGTAGAGTAGAGTAGAGTAGAGTAGAGTAGAGTAGAGTAGAGTAGAGTAGAGTAGAGTAGAGTAGAGTGGATTAGAGACTTTTGTCGCAGAGGCTTCTCTCTCATATCTATTGTTGTGGTAAAACCTGGTGGAGGTGGTTGTTCCGACAGCGGCGTTTGTCACTTGTGACGTTTAACCTTTCGGCTTAGTGACATTTCAGCGTCAGCCAATCAGGAGCCAGGATTCAGACAGACAGACGGCGACAGGAGAACATGCAACAGCCTCCTTCAAACTGCTCTGGTTTTGGTTCTTCTATTTACAGAGAGAGACCAGAGAGAGACCAGAGAGAGACCAGAAGAGACCAGAGAGAGACAAGAGAGAGACCAGAAGAGACAAGAGAGAGACCAGAGAGAGACTAGAGAGAGACCAGAAGAGTCCAGAGAGAGACCAGAGAGAGACCAGAAGAGACCAGAGAGAGACCATAGAGAGACCAGAAGAGACCAGAGAGAGACCAGAGAGAGACCAGAGTGAGACCAGAAGAGACCAGAGAGAGACCAGAGAGAGTCTGGTCTCTCTCTGGTCCTCCTCTGGTCTCTGTCTACATAAGGGTAAACATGTAGTTTGTTTTGATAATCCTCAGATCAAATGCAGTGAAACAGTCTCGGATCAGAGAGACATGAACGTCACGAGCCGCGAGGAAACCAGAACTCATCACATCAATGTGTGGTCTGTGGACAAGTGTGTGTATGTCTGTGTGTGCTTGTATATATGTCTTTGTTCTGTGTGTGTGTGTGTGTGTGTGTGTATCATGTATCAGGTGATAGAGAGAGAACCCTGGAGCAAGTCTGACCTTGACCCTGGACTTTCCTCTTGTGACTTTTAAGAAACGGCATCAACAACAGATAAGCTCGGTGTCCGTCTGTGGAGCCTGGAGCCTGGGGATGGGGGTCGGAAGGGGGGGGGGGGGGGGGGGGGGGGGTGTCCGGCCGGCTGCACACCCTCCAGGGGCCGACTATCCATCAAACAGCAGTGAAGAGCTCTGACAGAGACTTGATGGAGAAGACACTAAATATGCAATCAATCCAAGACAGAGGAGCGGTCTACAGCCTCAGTCCTGGGTCTACAGCCTCAGTCCTGGGTCTACAGCCTCAGTCCTGGATCTACAGCCTCAGTCCTGGGTCCACAGCCTCAGTCCTGGATCTACATCCTCAGTCCTGGGTCTACAGCCTCAGTCCTGGATCTACAGCCTCAGTCCTGGGTCTACAGCCTCAGACCTGGGTCTACAGCCTCAGTCCTGGGTCTACAGCCTCAGTCCTGGGTCTACAGCCTCAGTCCTGGGTCTACAGCCTCAGTCCTGGGTCTACAGCCTCAGTCCTGGATCTACAGCCTCAGTCCTGGGTCCACAGCCTCAGTCCTGGATCTACATCCTCAGTCCTGGGTCTACAGCCTCAGTCCTGGATCTACAGCCTCAGTCCTGGGTCTACAGCCTCAGACCTGGGTCTACAGCCTCAGTCCTGGGTCTACAGCCTCAGTGCAGATCTCTCGGAACTATTTACACATTTCTCATTTTCTCGGATGGTCAAGGTCGTTGCCAATCAATATTTTGGCCGCCACAGAACGCCATCACAGAACGCCACCACAGAACGCCATCACAGAACGCCACCACAACGCCACCACAGAACGCCACCACAGAACGCCATCACAGAACGCCATCACAGAACGCCACCACAACGCCACCACAGAACGCCACCACAGAACGCCATCACAGAACGCCACCACAGAACGCCATCACAGAACGCCATCACAGAACGCCACCACAGAACACCGCCACCGAACGGCGTCACAGAACGCCACCACAGAACGCCACCACAGAACGCCACCACAGAACGCCATCACAGAACGCCATCACAGAACTTCACCACAGAACACCGCCACCGAACGGCGTCACAGAACGCCACCACAGAACACCACCACAGAACGCCACCACAGAACGCCACCACAGAACGCCATCACAGAACACCGCCACCGAACGGCGTCACAGAACGCCACCACAGAACGCCGCCACAGAACACCGCCACAGAACGCCACCACAGAACGCCGCCACAGAACGCCACCACAGAACGCGGCCACAGTACGCCACCACACGGTCATCTGCTCGTGACCTTGAGGGTGGAGGCGCTCGCCGTGGAGGATCCCGCCGTGCTCTTGATGTAATTATGTGTCTGTAATGCATTCTGTGGCCTTCCGCTGTGATCCGTCAGCGTCAAAGGAGGAGGCTGTAGAGGCTCCTCCCCTTCACCTCCTCCTCCATCAGCTGCAGGTCTGTGGAGGAGGCGCAGACAAGGTCACCCTCCGCTGGAACTCCTCCCAGAATGCAACAGTTTGGATTGAGAGAGGAAAAGACTAGTGCCAGGTCTCTGGTCCCCTTTTTGTCTCTCTCTGGTCTCTCATTCCAATCTCTTTCTGTGGTCTCTCTGCTCTCTCTTTCTGCTTTCTCTCTGGCCTCTCTGTGGTCTCTCTCTGCTCTCCCTCTCTCTGCTCTCTCTCTGGTGTCTCTCTGATCTCTCTCTGCTCTCTCTCTGGTGTCTCTCTGATCTCTCTCTGCTCTCTCTGGTCTCTCTCTGCTCTCTCTGGTCTCTCTCTGCTCTCTCTCTCTGCTCTCTCTGGTCTCTCTCTGGTCTCTCTCTCTGGTCTCTTTCTGCTCTCTCTCTCTGATATCTCTCTACTCTCTCTCTGATCTCTCCTTGTGTATGTTGTAGTATCACATGTCGTAAAAAAGACCAAGAGAAATATTTACACCCAAAGTATTGTGAGTCCGGTCACAGTCTCTTGGATCAATACTTGATTCTGTGACCAATTTTACAGTTGTGTGAGTCCACTGCCTCTGGAGTAATAGAGCCGTGTCCTCCTCCCCCCTCACCTCCTCCTCCCTTACCTCCCCCACCCCTCTCCCTCTAACCCACTCCTCCTCCCACTGCTGGAGAAAGCTGGAGTTTCCCTCTGAATGTAAGCCTCGGATTGGTCCATCCTTTTATAGTTAGATACATAGATAGATAGACAGACATTGAGGTGTCCAGTAGCAGCAAAAATGAAAAATAAAATTGATCCTTCTAAAAAGATAACAATAGTAATAATCAACAACAGCCCCTCAGGTCACAGCATCACAGGTGGAGTAGCCTCTGGGTGGAGTAGGATGGGTCAGAGCAGCAGAGGTGGAGTAGCCTCTGGGTGGAGCTGGACGTGTCACAGCATCACAGGTGGAGTAGCCTCTGGGTGGAGCAGGACGGGTCAGAGCAGCAGAGGTGGAGTAGCCTCTGGGTAGGGTAGGACGGGTCAGAGCAGCAGAGGTGGAGTAGCCTCTTGATGGGGTAGGACGGGTCAGAGCAGCAGAGGTGGAGTAGCCTCTGGGTAGGGTAGGACGGGTCAGAGCAGCAGAGGTGGAGTAGCCTCTGGGTGGGGTAGGACGGGTCAGAGCAGCAGAGGTGGAGTAGCCTCTGGGTAGGGTAGGACGGGTCAGAGCAGCAGAGGTGGAGTAGCCTCTGGGTGGGGTAGGATGGGTCAGAGCAGCAGAGGTGGAGTAGCCTCTGGGTGGGGTAGGATGGGTCAGAGCAGCAGAGGTGGAGTAGCCTCTGGGTGGGGTAGGATGGGTCAGAGCAGCAGAGGTGGAGTAGCCTCTTGGTGGAGCTCATTATTTATTGCTCTTATGTGGATTTACAAATATAACCACAGAGTTGGTTATTCAGAATGATTAGTGTGACACAGACGGTTACTGAGAGACAAGACCGAGACCAGACCGAGACCAGAGAGAGACCAGAGAGAGAGCATGGAGACCAGAGAGAGACCAGAGAGAGACCAGAGAGAGAGCCCAGAGAGAGAGCATGGAGACCAGAGAGAGACCAGAGAGAGAGAGAGAGAAGGAAGACCAGAGAGAGCCTAAGAGAGAGACTTGAGACTGTAGCAGAGTGACCAGGGAGAGACAGAAGAGAGAGAGAGAGAAAGACCAGAGAGACCACAGCGAGAGAAAGAGTAGAGTAACACCAGAAAGAGAGATCAGAGAGTGACCGGGAGGAGAGTGGAGAGAGACTTTTACACTGACTTACATGTAAAAGTAGGCTCCAACACCAAACTTCATACATGAGCACTTCCCTATTGGGCTACATTGAGCTAGCGTGTTAGCATTGCTCCTCTGTATACAGTCTGTGATGGGTCATTATGGTTTGATGAGGCGCAGAGCAGATGGACAGCAGCAGGTGGAGGTTCTGCTCCCACACAGCTGTCTGGGAGTCAAGGACGTTCCAAGGTACAGGTTATTTGTATAGAACAGTTTAAAGAATGCATTTAGTTCAACAATGTATAAAAAAGGAATGGTCTGTCCTCCTGTGGAGCCCAGTGCCATTTTCTCTGGTCTCTCTCTGGTTTCTCACTGGTCTTTCTCTCTCTGGTCTCTCAGTTAACTCTCTCTGGTGTCTCACTGGTCTCTCTCTCTGGTCTTTCTCACTGGTCTCTCTCTGGTCTCCGATCTCTCTCTGGTCTCCCTCTAGTCCCTCTCTGGTTTCTCTGTGATCTCTCTCTCTGGTCTCTCCCAGGTCTCTCTCTGGTCTCTCAATTATCTCTCTTTCTGGTGTCTCTCTCTGGTCTCCCAATGATATATCTCTGGTCTCTCAATGATCTCTCGCTGGTCTCTCCCTCTCTGATCTCTCGCTGGTCTTTCCCTCTTTTCTCTCTTACTGATCTCTCCCTCTGGTCCCTCTCTGGTCTCTCTCACTGGTCTCTCTCACTTCAGCAGTGATGACTCCAGGAAAAGTATATTAAAAGTGCGTGACAGTTTTTACATTACTATATCACAAAACTACTTATTCAATTATCTCTGTTATTGTGGGATATATTTGAGCACACATCCCCCCTGTCATAAACCAGGACCAGTGCAGTTATGGGAGAGCGCAGAGAGAGAGAGAGAAAAGACGTGTGCGAGTCTATCTCTGGTCCAGAGACTGATGAAACGACCACGAGACGAGAAACTCAGTCTGAATGACAGAGAGAGAAGTCGTTGCTGATGTCACACAATAACCTCTTTCCCTGGTCTTTCTTTTGTTTTTCCGGTCTCTCTCTCTGGTCTCTCTCTCTGGTCTCTCTCTCTGGTCTCTCGCTCTGGTCTCTCTCTCTAAACTCTCTCTCTGATCTCTCTCTCTGATCTCTCTCTCTGATCTCTCTCTCTGGTCTCTCTCTCTGAGCTCATTCCCAAGTGTTGCTGTTCTCTCTCTGTGGCATCTTTCTCTAGTTTCTCTCTGGTCTCTCGCTCTCTCTTGTCTCTGAGGTCTCTCTCTAATCTTTCGCTCTGGTCCCTCACTCAGGTCTCTCTTTCTCTCTTGTTTCTCTCTCTGGGGACTCTCTCTCTCTCTCTAGTCTTGCTGCTCACTCACTCTTTTTTGTCAGGTCTCTCTCACTGGTCTCTCTCCCTCTCTTTGGTCCCTTTTACTGGTCTCTCTTTGGACTCTCTCTCTCTTTGGTCTCTCTCACTGGTCTCTCTCTCTCTGGTCTCTCTCTGGTCTCTCTCTGATCTCTCTCTTGGGTCTCTCTTGTTTCTCTCTCTCTCTCTAGTCCATCTGCTCACTCTCTCTTTTTTGTCTGGTCTCTCTCTGCTCTCTCTCTCTGCTCTTTCTCTGGTCTCTCTCTGATAACATGCGTATATACATACATAGGACTTCTCTCTCTCTCTCTCTCTCTGTGACACCATGTGTGCTCCGACAGCTGGTGCTGTCAGTTGTAGTTCAGCGCAGATGAAAGAGTCATGAAAAAGAACCAGAGCCCAAAGCTTTTCCCAAAAGTGTTTTATGAGACGTCTTAAATATCTGTGTTGTTCCTCCAGGATTTACACTCTGAGGCAGAGTAAACTTGTCACAGGCAACACCCGGTTTAATAATGAGGCAGCAGATGGTCTCACTCTGGTCTGTTTTTCTCTTTCTAGTCTCACTCTGGTCTCTCTCTGGTCTCTCTTTGGTCTCTCTTTGGTCTCTCTTTGGTTCCCTCTGCATGGTCTCTCTGTTCTTTCTCTTTAATCTTTCTCTGGTCCGTCCAAATACCTCCAGAGTATTCTCTCTCTCTCTGCCCTCCCTCTACACACTCTCTCTCTCTCTCTCTGGTCTCTCTCTCTCTGGTCTCTCTCTCTCTGGCCTCTCTCTCTCTCTCTTTCTCTCTGTGGTCTCTCTCTCTATGCACTCTCTCTGCAGTCTTTCTCTCTCTCTTTCGCTCTCTCTCTCTCTCTCTGCATGGACTAGCATATAGCTGGAGGTCTTGTTGTTAAATGAGGTCCATTGAGAGCTACAGTCCTGGTGATATCCTGACACCCTCCCATTCTGTGCGTCGGCTAAAAATATCTGGGGTTTTTTTCAGTTCCGGGTGTTTGGAGAAAAGCTTCATGGTCCATTTTCTCTCGACACACAGTTAACCTTTGCCACCTCTGCTCTGCCCCGGGACGAGGGGCGAGAACAGGTTTGATAGTATCTCACAGACTGTATATAGCGTTAGCCGCTAACTTATCTCTGAGGCTCTGAGGTTTCTCTGCACAACCAGGGATGAGGAAGTGGAAATGATCAGACTCTGAAGAAGAAAAGTTAAGGACAGAATTCCACAGAACCCAGGCTAAAAAGTCTGAGGGAAAAAAAACACACCAGGTTTCCAAGGCCTTGATTGTTCTCCTTATAGTCACGATGATGTCATGGAAGCGATGATGTCACAGGAAATTACTCCATGCATGCATTAACCCTAATCTCATGGAAACGAGAACAGAGAGAGACTAAAGAGATTTGCGAGAGAGACCAGAGAACCAGGAGAGACTTAAGAGATTTGAGAGAGAGACCATAAAGACACCAGAGACGAAAGAGACACCAGAGAGTTTTTAGAGAGAGACCATAAAGAGACCAGAGAAGGGGACCAGAGAGAGACCATTGCAGAGACATCTCAGAACCACAGATTTAGACACAGAGAGTGAGGGGAAGAGGAGAAGATTGAGCTCTTGGATTTATGGTCCAATATGAATCATTCAGACCCCTCTCCACAGAACCGGCTCGTGTGGGAGTCTGAGGGCTGGAAGGTGCTGGAGACCAGAGAGAGACCAGAGAGAGACACACTAGAGAGAGATCAGACAGAGACCACAGAGAGACCAGAGAGAGACTAGAGAGAGACCAGGGAGAGACCAGAGAGAGACCAGAGAGAGA